GCAGAGGCCCCGGTGGGCTCTGCCGCTCCCAGCCCCCCAACAGGTGTCTTCCCACCTTCCACACAGACAGATTCAGGGGAGGGGACGCTGGAGACCTGATGGGAATCGTGCAAAGGAGAGTCTACTGCTACTGGACTGGGGACCAGGGTGCAGCCCAACCTCCAAGTCGTGCTCCCACACCCACACTCAGTGGGTGCCGGGCATTCACACACAACTGTGCTCACACACCAACACACCCTGTTCCAAGTTCAGGCACACAGCTGCCCTGCTTCAGATACTGAGTTACAGGGACACTACAGCGCCGGTGCCTGTGATCACGAGGAGAATCACTCTGCAGGATGCTGGGGTGAGTGTGGAAGGCCTGGACAGGACAATTCACACAGGATGTGCACATGGTGGTGGACTCACACCTACATACACACCCTCGGAGATCTCTGCAGCAGGGTGAAGGGTATAATGAACCTATCCCACACCTGCAGCAGGGTGAAGGGTATAATGAACCTCTGGTGCTCAGTGTGCATTTGAACAGTAATGAGCACCTTGCCCATCTTCACAGCTCCACCGATGTGTGTGTCTCTCCAGCCTGTACCTCCAGACCCCCTCAGCCAACGGATTCAGGTCTACCCTACCCCCAATTATCCCCAGATGCTGAGATGCTCTTCCTTACCTGGGGCTCCTGATGGCAGGTCACAATTCCTGCTCTGAGCAGCCTGGACCCAACTCCTCTCTGGCACCCTCATACATACCCCCGTTTCTTACTATATGCAAGGGAATCAACCTACCAAAAGCAGGAGGGTCACCTGGAGGTGATGTCAAGTGTGTGAGAACATGTGTCTGTAGGGGTAACACCTGGCATGGGTGTAAAACTGCCATCAAACCCAAACCCAGCACAGATCATCCCATGACCTCATACCCAGGGAGGCAAGATTGCTCCCAGGGCCAAGATTCCCCCAAGAGGCAGAAATTCAGGTGTGACTTTTGTTTCCTCTCTCCTCCTCTCCCCTACCCCCCAGTCAGTGCCCTTCTCTCAGAGCCAGTTTGCCCTGCCCTGGGCCACCAGCTCTTCTCACCAGGGTGACCCTCGCTCTTATCTCCAGCCTCTATCCTTGTCCCCAGGCCGGCTCCCACTGCTCCCCTTGCTCTCTTTGGCCCGTCCTTGGCCACACGGAGGCTCAGTCCTGCTCACACCTTTGGCTCACTCCAGTGCCCTCCCACTCAGATTTCAGACCTGAGTGTCAGACACTCTCCCCACCAGGAAGCCTTGGTGATCCAATGATCTTCAGTACTGATGCCTCCTCCCGAATAGTTTTGTGTGGCAAGCTCGGGGGTAGTCGAGCCCCTTCTTCTGCCCAGCCCTCTCTAAGGCTGGGCCCACAGAGGGGAGAATCACTGAATGTGCAGAGGCAGACAAACATGCCCTGGGAGTCTGCTGAGGGCTAGAGGGCAGAGAGTGAAGATTTGCGGAACTCCTGTGCCCAGCTTGTTCCTCTTTACCCCACACAGCTTCCCCTGGCTGCTCAGAGAATGTACCTGGAGAGAGATAGATGGTAATATTCCTCTGGAAAGGTAGGGACTGGCTTGGGGAATTCCAGTTCTGAGGGTTTGGAGATTGCTTTGCAGGGGGTTGAGGGGCAGGAGAGGGGTAAAGGACTGGGCAGCTACTCCCAAAAGAAAAAAAACAAACACAATAATCCCTCCTTTGGGGTCTGAGCTACAAGTGCTACAACTGGAAAGGGCTGAGAGGAAGGAATAAGCCTGATTGGGACCTGGTTTCTCTCTCTTCATTGTGAAATGTCTGTCTCTCACATCCACACCTGACCCTATACCTCACAGAGACAAAGACAGACAGACCAAGACCTCCATTCACCCAACACATATTTACTGAGCACCTACTTTATGCCAGTCACAGGAGTAAATAAAGTCCTTCTTATAATGGTATAATTCCAGTGGGGAATGGTGTCAGAGGGTGATAAGTAAAATGAAGAGACATAAATTTGGGCTGTGGGAATAGAAAGGGAAGGGTGTATTAGTTTTCTATTACTGTGTAACAAATTACATGCAAACACAGCAAAACAAACATTTATTTTCTCACAATTCTGTGAATGAGGAATTTGAGTGGCTGAGCAGGATGGTTCTGGCTCACTGTCTCTCATGAAGTTGTAGTAAATGTTGGCTAACACTGCAGTCATCTTGACTGGGATGGGAGGATCCACCTCCAGGATGGCTCACACACATGCTGTTGGCAGGAGGCTGTTCTCTTTAGGTGGACCTGAGTGTCCTACCAACATGGCAGCTGGTTTTCCCCAGAGAGTGACCCAAGAAAGAGATGAAAGAGGCAGCAATGCTTTTTATGGCTTAGTCTTGGAAGTCACATGCTGTCACTTCTGCCATGATTTATTTGTTAAAATATGTAAGTTGGTCCAGCCCACATTCAAGGGTAAGGGAATTAGCCTTCATCTTTTAAAGGGAAGAATATCAAACACTTTATGGAGGTATTTTAAAACCACCACAGAAGGGCTGCTAATACACAAATATTAAGGGAAGGACTCTGAGCAGGAATTGAAGTGGGGTGAGATGGAGGAAAACAGCCATGAAGATACCTAGGGAAGAGCATTGCAGGAAGAATAATAGGTGCAAATATCCAAAGGCAAAAGTTTGCTTGATGTGTCAGAAGGAAAGCAAGGAGGCCACTGGGCTAAACAGGGTGGCCGAGGTAAATGGTCAGAGGTAACATGTGCCTTGGAGTAGGTGCCTGGAGGCAGTAAAAACTCAATGAGATGGGAAGCTGATGGAGATATCTAAGCAGAGAGTGAAAGGCTGAGTCTGGCTGCTGTGTGGTGAACCCTCCACACAGCACGCAAGCATGAGGATCAATTAGGAAGCTGCTGCAGTAACCCAGACAAGAGATGATGACGGCTCAGACCAGGGTGGTAGCAGTGGAGGTGACAAAAAGTGATTAGATTCCAGATATGTTTCAAATATAAAACTGACAGGATCTGTTGATGCCTTGAATATGAGTTGTGAGAGAATAAAAGGTATTCAAGATGACTCCATGGCTATTGGCCTGGGCAGGAGGTTAAATGGAGGTATACTTGACTGAGACAGTAAAGACTGTAGGAGGTACAGGATTGGGAGAGATCAGTTTATGATGGATATTTTAAGTTTGAGATGCCAATTAGACAACCAGGTGGAGATGTTGAAAGATATATGAAGCTGATATCTGGAGCTCAGAGAAGAGGTTTAGGGTGAGACAAGAAATTAGGAGTCAACACATATAGATGGTACTCAAGGTCCATCCATGTTGTTGCAAATAGCAGAACTTTTTTATGGCTGAATAATATTCCATTTTATATATCACATTTTCTTTATCCACTCATCCTTGAGGGCATTATGCTAAATGAAATAAGTCAGAAAGACAAATACTCTATGTTCTCACTTATATGTAGAATCTAAAAAACACCACACAAAACTCTTAGAACAGATTGGTAGATGCCAGAGGTCCGAGGTGGGTAATACAGTTGAAGGTGGTCAAAAGGCACAAACTTCCAGTTATAAGAGAAATAAGTCCTGGAGACGTAATGTACAACATAGTAACTATAGTTAACTATACTACATATTTGAAAGTTGCCAAGAATGTAGATCTTGAAAGTTCTCAATAAAAAATTGTAACTATGTGAGGTGCTAGATGTTAACTAAATTTATTGTGGGAATCATTTCACAATATATACATGTATCACTATGTTGTACACCTTAAATTAATGTTATATGTCAATTATATATCAATAAAATGGGGGTGGGGAGACATATAGATGGTAAAGTCTTGAAATGATTGAGAGCACCTGGGATGGGTGCAGACAGAAGTTTGAGGATTAAGTCCTGGCAAGTCAACAGAAGTTGGACAGGTAAAATGTAGTAGAGGAGGCAAAGGAGTAATGTACTGGAAACCAAGTGTTTTAAGGGTGATTGCATCAAATGAAAGTTGAGAATAAATAATTCTGGGCTTAGCAGAGATGGGGAGGACCCTGGGAGCCTAGTCCTACTGGGAGAGGGATGACAGAGGAGCTGGGGCACCCCTGATAGATGTGGGATGAGACTAGAGGTAGACCTGGATTACTGGGTGGGAGAAGTTGTTGGAAGCTTGACTTTGCAACCTGTGATCCATGGAGAGGCCCCAATCAGGTGACCTGTCATGGCCAACATGGTGGTGGTGCTATGTCTGGATGGCCATCTTGCCTAGACCTCACATTCATTTAGAACCACAAATTTAGACTTTTGATGTTGCTTACAAGTGGTTATACATGTAGTCTCCTGTATTTTTGTTCATTAGAATGTCAACTTTTTAGAATACACAATTTGTGTAACCATGTTCCTTTCATTTTTAATATACCAGGAATCCTAAGAGTGACCTGGGCCTTACTTCAATCTCAGAGCAGGGGCAGGAGGAGATGAGACAAGTGATACAACCAGAGCACCAAATTTAAGAGGGCAAGTGCAGGGTCCCTGGGAGTGCACCCTGGGAGGGCACCTCTCTTGCCTCACACTAGTTGCAGCCCCACCTACCTCAGACACCACCAGATAACGTGCCTGCTCCCCACCCCGGAGCCTCCACAGAAGTGAGGGATCCTGGAGAAGGCAGACTGGAGAGAAACTCCTGTCTGGGTGGGGGTGGACAAAATACCCTGGAAACCCAGAAAAAAGCAAATGGAGAATGACTAGGCCTCATTCAGCTCAAATGTGGGTGCACACTGCCATCTTGTGGCCATCCAGGGCAGGGTTCCCAGGACTGTTTGCAGACCTGCAATGGCAGAGGCAAGACCAAGATACACACCTCATTCAGGCTTGACTTTCTTCAAAACTTGTGGAGAGGATCGTATTAAACATACTGATCTCAAGGCCTCAGCCCAGAATTGAACTCTTGGGATTGGGCACAGTAATCTGTACAGTCAATGAGCCTCCCAGGTGATTCTTGGGCACCTGAAAGTATATAGCCAGTCTTAAAAACTCAATTACACAGCAAGAAGAGGCCTTCCTGAGGCCTCCCATGAATTAGCATGTTTTCTTGCTCAGATACACAAAGAAATGGAACTGTTCAACAGGTCTTTATTAACAGAGACAGATGGACAGAAAATGCAGGCAGTGTCTGAAAGCTGTGATGGGTGTATGCAGAAAAGGCCTTCTATCTAGGCCCACCTCTTCAGGTCCTCTCCTCAGGGGTGGGCCCTGGGCTGAAGCCATCCTCCCACCATACCTCTGAAGGAGGAATGGGGGTCTTTCATGATAGGAGGGGCCCTGACCTCAGCATTATCCACATTCTTCTGGTTCCCCAACTGACCTGGTTGCTGAGAGGGTGGGGGACAGGCCATGAGGGGACTTGCATAGCAGGGGAACAGAACAGGGGTAAGGCATATGGTGAGGACTGGGAGATCAAGGGAAAGGGCATCATAGCTACAGGTAAAGGGAACTTCCAAAGGCAACTCTTCTTCCTCACCCTCTCCCCAATTGCTGCTGGGCTGAGGGGAAAGACCCAGGCAGAGTGTAATACCCATCACCACCCCGAACTCCAGAGCCTTGACAGGAGGTAAGAGAAGCTCTGGAAAGGCCTGAGTTAATGAGTCAAGCTTGTGTTATATGTTTGAACATGTCTGGACCCCTTGATATACATGGGGATTCAGTGTCTGAATGTGTGTCCCATATGTTCCCATAGGTCTCTGTGTTTGGTGGTATAAGCATGTATGTCCCTGCTTGTATACCAGGAACTTGGTATCTGCATGTTGTGAGTATGTCCATCTTTTCACATGGGCTCCAGCAAGTGGATGTGTGCGGGCCTGCCGCTCCTGTCCACCCACAGGTCCTCCTTCAGGCCTGGCTACTCAGGGGTCCTGGCCGAAGAGGTAGGTAGTGAGCTCAAGTCGGAGGCCCCGGGCATAGGCGCGAAGAGTGTAGAAGAGGGTGAGGAAGTCCTGGGTGCTGAAGATTGTGTCAGCCAGCGCGAAGGCCAGGGTAGATGGGATGACTCCCCGGCCGTACTCCACCATCCATGTATTTGGCCCCCACTCCACAGCTGTTGCCTCACCAGGCCCGTGCACCACTGTCTCCCCTGGGGAACAGGGAACATCTACATGAGGAGCCTATCATTGCCCTACCGTTGCTGCCACCTCCATGGCCCATGGGCTGTCTAGTGGGGAATGGGGAGAGAGCTTATGGAAAGGAAAGAGTCTGACCTCACTGGCCAAGTCGCCTATCTGGAGGGGTAAAAGGCCAAGATGACGACTCCTAATTTTTCTCTGGGGCATCACCTGGCTCATGTCCTTTCTTGGAGGAAGCCAAGGAGGAGCACCTACTGACCATGGGCCATTGTACAGGAGTCATGGAAGTCTGCATTCCCAAGCCTCAGTCATGTCAAGCAGAAATTTAGCTAAACTTGGGCTGGGCCTGTTAGATACAGAGGGGTGGTTATAAGACTCGTGAGGCTTTCTGAGAAATGTAACTGTTCAATTACAGTGCCTGCCGTGCTTTAACACAAGCTCAAACTTAGATGGAAGTCCAAACCTCTACTTTTTATGTAAAATATTTCATTATATAAAAAGTGAAGAAAGCCCTAGCCAGTGTGGCTCAGTTGGTCGGAGTGCCAACCTGTCCACCAAAAGGTCTTGGGTTCTATCCTGGGTCCTGGTGTGTATGGGAGGGGCCGATGGATGTTTCTCTCTCACATCACGCTTCTCTCCCTCCCCCTTCCTCTCTAAAATCAATAACAACATATCCTTGATGAGGATTAAAAAAAAAAAAAAAGACAACTGTCTGCCTTGCCTTTGGGGATATGAGAGCATTTCTGATTACCCAACTGTCTCCCCAACAATTCCTGGAATATAGGATGAGTGCCTTAAAAGATAAAAATCAGACATTTAACAGGACAGTTACGTTTTGTTTCCTTCTGACAGAGGAAAGCAATTGGGGAGCTCAGTCCTGCCTCAACCAACCACCTGTGGCTTATCTAGGGGATGGGGGAATGGGGGAGGGCCCCTCAACGCACCCTTCTTCCATGCCATGGCTCTCTCCCCCAACTATGAGCATCCCACAATGAAGGGACTCACTTCTCTGACGGAAACTCCCTACCCACCTGGGTAGAAGACCTCACTTTTGGTAGTGCCTTCTCTCCACTGGTGGAAGGTGCCAGAGATTATGGTGTCCGAGATCTCAGCCCAATAGCGTCCTGTGGGACAATCAGATGGACACGGAATATCAGGGTATCCGCACCGTCACATGGCCTGGCCAAACAGAAAGGAGGGCGTGGGCCCTTGTACAGCCCCAGCCTCCCAGTCCGGCCCGCCGCCAGCACTGACCAGAGTGGCCGCCAGAGCCGAGGGCGGTGCCGAACAGCAGCACGTACTCGGACAGCGAGGCATGCAGGAGGCACATGGCGCCCATCCAGCCGCCCGCGTTCACGAACACCCATTGCAGTTCCTCGTCGGGCAGCACGTGGCCTGGGTGCAGCCGCCGCAGCTCCACGATGAGCCGAGAGAAGGCCAGCTCGTGGTCCAGCCCTGGCGGGGGCAAATTAACACAATTAGGGCCAGCAGCGGTCCCGAACTAGGGAACGACGCCCCCGGAACCCCCGCTCTGACCGGACCTTCCAGCCCTCCAAGCGTTCATTCGCCCGCTCACCCGCGTACTGCCGCGCCAGCTGCGCGATCTCTTCGTGCTGGAAGACAAAGCTCTGCGTGCCCAGCCAGAGCCACACCGCCTGGGCCAGCACAGCCGCGGCGGCCAGAAGCAGCGCGGCCCACACCCACCGCCGGCCTACCGCCCACAGCATCCCTCCGGGCAGCCAGGCACACGCAGCGCGGAGGAGAGCTGGGCCTGAGGTTCCGCGGCTCACTGCCCCCCAGCCAGCGGCGCGCCGTGCAGGACCCGTTCCCCCGCCACCACCTTGGTATGGCTCTCCCTGGCCAATTGGAACTGTCCCGGCATCGGGGCACCGCCCCCTCGGGTTGTACCATTTCCTCGCGGGGAGTAGGGAGCGCAGAGGAGGTGGGGCGAGGCCGCGTACACCTGGTAAACGGGGCGGGGCCAAGCCCTCCTTTCTGCACATATAAGGACCTCCAGGTAGCTTCTCTCCGAGCGCCATCCCCAGGAGGGTAAGAGGTTGGTGGCGGTGAGACCCAGAAAGGACACTCCCCTGAGCTCACTGACTAGTGAAACAGGCGAGCCCGGAAGCAGAGATTCCCGGACTTGTAATTTTTAAGGCCCGCCTTTGCTAGCCCTGAAGGTGGAAGGAGAGCGCGTCAGCCTGGGAATGTTATGGAAGACTTTCTGGAGGCGGTGACATCTGAGCAGTGTCTTTAAGAGAGATGGGGAGGGAATTTCAGCCGTTGAGACCTACTCCAAGACTAAAGGCACCGGGAAAAAAACAGCGTGGATCTTCAGAGGCCTACAATTAATTCTTTCTTCTGCAGCACAAAATATGAGAGGATGTCCTTGTAAACCAAAGAGGGGTTATGATGGGGGAGTGATAAAGAAAGAGAAACAAAAGAGAGAAAAGAGGCAGCATTGTGCAGTGGTAAGAAAGAAACGCTGGAGATGGGTTGACTGGATTAAAAGCTTGGCTCCTGCCACCTACTAATTGTGTGATCTTGGGCAAATTACTTAAGCTCTTTGTGACTCAGTTTTCATATCCATAAAATGGGATGAATAAAAAGTACCTGCCTCATAGTACATACCTTCATTGTGATGAAGATTAAATGAGTTAATATTTATAAAGCAATTAGTATCTGGCATGTGGTGTCATATGTGTTAGTTACATAAATAAAACACAAAGGAGAAGAGAACTGGAAGAGCATGGCCTCACACATGAGAGTAATGAAATGAAGGGTCAACACAGTCAAATATAATTGAGTAGTCCATCCAATAAAATGATGGGAAATGGTCATTAGCTTTCTCAGTAGGGGTATGTAGTCAGATTACATTCCATAGTCTACTCTGTAATTGGATAAGCCATGTGCTTATATTCTGGCTAATGAAGTATAGGCAAAAATGACGTATGACACCTCCAGGTCTGGCTCCTAAAATCTGTGAAATTTTTTACATTCTCCCTCTTCCCTGATCTATTATCATAATTATATTGAACTAAGTAATTAGTGGAGAATTATGAATGCTGCATGGGATAGAGCTCCCCTTCTCCCCTGCAATGGGCTGTGGTGCTAAGCCACTGAGTTTGGGGGTTGTTTATTACCGCAACTAAGATTACTTATTCTGACTAATATAGGGCAAAAGACATGTTACAGTGTACTGTGCAGGTAAGTGTAGAGGTTGAGAAATTGGATTATTTTCTGAGAAACTTGGCCAAGAAGGGAAAGGAAAGATAAAGAAGAGATTATCTAGAGGAGAATGCAGAATTGAGGAAACTTTTTAAAATTTGCCCTGGCTTCTGTGACACTCCTGAGCTGACCATTCTCTAAGAACCCTGAATAACAGGGACTAGCCCAAAAAATCTGGCCTCTGCCCCCCTGTTCCAGGTAGATCCCTCTGGGACTATCTAGGCCTGCAGCTCCCCTATCTGGTCTTTCAGAAAACTTCTCCAGCACACACTATTTAAAAACACACAAACAAGCAAACAAGCAAGCAAGCAAACAAAAAACCTGAATTGTCCTTTGGCCTTGAAGGGGTTCAGAACAGGACTCCCCAAGATATGCCACTTTGACATGTGAATTATTTCGAACTGAACATAACAGAGACCCTGTGCGCTCACGAAAAACTTTTTCCCATTCCTTAAAGAATTTGAATTCAGGGCCTTGCCCATAATAAGAGTTATTACCAGAAAAAAACTTTTCATGACCTATCTATATGGCAGGGCAAACTTCTAATTACTGAAATCTACTCTTATCCTGCAATGACCTTCCTCCCCTCTGAAGCCACAAGGTGCCTTTACCTCATCTTTAGCTCAGAATACCATATATACCTCATTTTAACATTCTGTCTCTGAACCTCTCATGTATGTGGGGCCTCTGACTCTCATGTCATATATACATATGTAATTAAATTTAGTTATTTTCTCTTGTTAATCTGTCTCTTGTTGATTTGCTTATCAAACCATCCTGAAGAACCTAGAAGGGTAGAGAAAAGTTTCTTCCACCCAGCCTTAAGAGGGTCTAGGTAAGGGGATTAAGGGATTAGAGGTCACACACATCTTCCCTAAATATCATAGAAGAAATCACACCCCTGGGATCTTGAAGGGAAAGGGCTAGGTAGGCCCCATCTCAGCCATTCTCCCCCAAAATGTGACCTAGGGGAAAGAGAGAAAGGAGAGGTTTGGTGATAGTCCTGAAGAGATGTTTCTGAGGGGGTCAGAACTTAGTTGGCATGATTCTGGGGGTGGCACTGAAGCACTGGTATTCTTGAGAAAATGGGGCTGCCTCCAAAATCCAGTCACTCAGACAACAAAGACAGCTGAGAGAGTAGAAAAGCATATCTTCTATCCTTCCTTCTACCCCCCCCCCCC